CACAGCACTTTGTGAACCTCCAGGTGCAGATTTCGTGGCAGGCGCAACGCATTGTGAACCTCCAGGTGCAGATTTCGCGACTTCGAGGTGCAGATTTCGTGGCAGGCACAGCAATTTGTGAACCTCCATGTGCAGATTTCGTGGCAAGTGCAGCACTTTGTGAACCTCTAGGTGCAGATTTCGTGGCAGGCACAACACTTTGCGAACCTCCATGCGCAGATCGATTTCGTGGCAGGCGCAAGACTTTGTGAACCTCCAAGTGCAGATTTCGTAGCAGGCGCAGCACTTTGTGAACCTCCAGGTGCAGATTTCGTGGCAGGCGCAGCACTTTGAGAACCTCCAGGTGCAGATTTCGTGGTAGGCACAGCACTTTGCGAACCTCCATGTGCAGATTTCGTGGCAGGCAATGCTAAGAACTGGCGACTTTCTAATACAACTTGAGTACGCGGAGCAATCTGTAGAGTTAGAAGCTAAGAACTGGCGACTTTGTAATACTGGAAGCTAAGAACTAGCGATTTTCTAATACAACTTTAGTACGAGGAGCAATCTGTAGAATTAGAAGCTGAGAACTAGCGACTTTCTAGTGCAACTTTAGTACGCGGAGCAATTTATAAAGCTGAAAGCTGAGAACTAGCGACGCTGTAGTGCAACTTTAGTACGCGGAGAAACTTATGGAGCTAGACGCTAAGAACTAGCGACTTTATAATATAACTTTAGTACGTGGAGTGATTGGGGAGCTAGAGGCTAAGAACTAGCGACTTTGTAGTACAACTATAGTACGCGGAGCAACCTGTGCAACTAGAAGCTAAGAACCGGCCACTTTGTAGTACAACTATAGTACGCGAAGTATTTAGAGAGCTGGAGGCTAAGAACTAGCGACTATGTAATATAACTTTAGTATGCGGAGCAACCTGTGGAGTTAGAACCTGAGAATTGGCCATTTTGCAGTACAACTTTAGTACGCGGAGGAGTCATCTCTCGCGACTGAGTCATCTCTCGCTGCTGAGTCATTTCCCGCTGCCGAGTCATCTATCGCGACTGAATCATCTGTCTCTGCTGAGTCATCTCTCGCGACTAAGTCGTCTCTCGCTACTAAGTCATCTGTGGTTGCTAAGTCATCTCTCATTGCTGAGTCAGCTCTCGCTGCCCATTCATCATATACCACTCATCATACACCACTCAACATACACCACTCATCATACACCACTCGTCATACACCCCTCATCATACGGACCGCGCAGACCGCCGGGAAATACACTCGCCTTGCCCCGGCGAGGAACAATTTCGCTGTTTTTAACTACTTCGCGTGCTCGCAGGAACTGCACTTAACTTTCGATTGCAGCTGCCCAGTTACGCTGCCCAGTTGCTTCAGGACGCCGATGTGGGCTGCTAATCTTGCTTTGCCATAGACACAACCCAATACGCTGTTATGAGCTGCTAATCCTGCAAGAAGCACAGACCTTACATAAGTGGCGCTGTGTTAATCAAAAGTCCGGAGCGCGTGCGTTTGACTGGGGGGACGCGCGTGTTTGAAAGAATCAGAACCCTCCTATAGGTCAATTTGCTCTTATAAGAAACTTCCGCCGCCCGCTGGCCCGGGAACTGCTTGTAATATATTACCAATTTTCAAGTAACGGAATAAACCGTCTATTCACCCTTTTCACCGCAAAAATTTTCCTCAATTCTAGTCTTCCGCTTCAAAAACAATATAGATTTAAAAAATCTTAAAATCAAATATTTTATGCACCTCCAAGAAGCTTTTAAACCCATCTCGAATGATTCTAATACTTTTGCACGTTAAGTGGCACATTCAGGTCATCATTCTCCAATATCTATTTTTATCTCCATCAATGTTCCATAATAACAAAATATAAATTAATTCACTTGTGAATGTTCAATCACATTCTCTTTAAGAAAGACTTTACGTCCAATATTATGCAAAGAGATTTCTACATTTTCATATTCCCGGTAAAGATACGATTCCCCCGACCCTGTAATTTAGTAGCTAAATTAAATTCCAATTTTCCTTCGCCACGGGTTCTTCATCTCAGATTTCAATCGCCTCACAATTTTCCTTCATCTCCACTGTAGAAGCGACATAAACCACTCGAATTCCATCTTTTAATTAATCATATCCTTTTCGCAAATCAAAGATAATTGGCTCACTGTTCTCAATCCTTCGACCACTAGTTTAGTATCTGCTAAGCTATTTTGCTGATTCATCTGGGTTTGTTGTTGGCCAACTATATGAGTAGTTACTAAAGCTCCTCCTTTGCAACCTCTCGAATATTGTTTCTCCAACAATCTCGAGCAAAATGTCTTGGCTTCACATGTAACAAGCTGCCACACCTTTTCTTTTCTAGTCTTTGCCTTTACCTTTGCCCTTGTGATCACCTTCTTTTCCTTTCTGTTCTCGTCGGTAGGCGTGGGTTAGGAATGGGTCCTAACCACCATCAACGATCCCATTGCAACACTTATTTCCTCAAAATTGAGTATTAAAGTCGGACTTAAATTGCCCACCTACACATCTCAAAAGAATAGCCGATTTCAATTTTTATTGAACTTAAGAGGAGGGAGACACGAAAGGTAGGACAGCGGGAAGAGAAGAAAACGCGAGAGGCAGGAACAAAAATGCAATGTTCGACATGGTAATTTATCCCCTCGGAGGCGACCTTTCGTACATATATGTTCATATGCACTTTAAATGTTCAAACATGTGCTCTCGAAATGTTCAAAAAGATTCTTAGGAAAACAAACTTGCCCCATGGCTCAGATCATCGGTGGGCATTGAATCGGAATATCATAGGATTTGAACTATCCTAAAACCATAAGAGGTTCACGAAGACGCTCCCCAGGAGAGAATTGACGTACTTCACAGAACACCTTTCGTGATTAGAATTTCATAGTCATTCTTTCTAAATGTTCAAGAGGGTTTCAACTATCCTGAAATCATGAGAGGTTCACGAAGACGATCTCCAGGAGAGAATTGATTTTAGAGGGGGGGAGGGGGGGGGGTCTGTATTGAAAAATCAATGCGAGGGGGGGGGGGGGGGGGTTTGAATTGAGCGATCAATTATTAGACCCGGACGTCCCAACACTTGCTTCGCAAGACAAACTCAAGGTATCCCGTAAAGAGCTACCTTTCGTGATGTATTTTCCTTATTTGACCGTCTCATCAAATAAGTTGAGGTTATAGAGCACTGTTCATTAAAAAAAGTTGACCATGCAATGGCTGCTCCCAAGAGTGCCAATCCTCTTGCCTTCGAAGTCGGTTTCAAATCTTTGTTCAAACTACTCCAGGCATCAAGCCCATTGGAGTCCTCCACAGCTTTAGCCAATTGTAGTGCCCTGCCCCTCATCAATAAAGCTAGCAATTCATAGAGCTTGATGCACCTAGTCTTCTCATCTCCAGTTGCCAAGTCCGTGCCGAAGTTCTCATTGGGCTTATCATGAATCTCTTTCAAGTCTTTCATGTAAGCCCCACCCACTCAACAAAGACACCTCAAATACCCCATGACCGCTCTCTGAAAGCTTTAATCTCTTCTTCTTATGACTTGTGGATTGGGTTTTGTGATCAGTTTTGACCAAGCTGTTGTAATAGTTTTCCTGTCTTCAACTGCATTCTTCACTGCCTCAGCTGCGGATGTTCTTGCTTGCGTGCTCTATGCTATAACTTGAAGGATTTCTTTGATCTCACCCAGCTCTGTCGCACAATAAAGTCCTTCTAACACAATGTACGGGGTACAGAGTGCACCTCACAGCAATTTATCACCAGTGTAAAGGGTTTTCAGTACAGACCATAGCTAATGCTATATAGCAATTGTGGGAGCTTTTCACCTGACCGCAGCCCTTTCTGTGTATCGAAAAAGTTCGCAATGGTAGCGGAGCAAGGATAAGAGTAACCCCCCTTAACCTCCAGAGAAAAGCCCCTAGATCACTGGGATGCCGGGAGCGTTTTCGAGCCATAGATTTGGGGGCCTTTGCAAACCAAATAGCTCATATCAATTATAAATAAACTATTTTCACATATTCGAAAACATAAATATGTTGTTTTTCAATAATATATATATATATATTCAATGTTTATACAGAATATTATTTTTGTTCTTCAATATAATGAAATATGCTTATTTCTTTGCCTCATTGTTGCATTTATCATGAGTTCAAATTAACATGCATTTTGGAGGCAAATGTTTGATTTGGATCCTTCCTCTATTTGTGTATGGATCAAATGAATCTCTTCGTATCCTCTATATTTCCGATATATTAGTTCCGTAATGTTCTGTAGTGATGCCGCAGGGCACTCCGACTCATCTATTTCAACACCAAAGAGACCCTGGCCAATGTGAGCCAAACCCTTGAAGACAACATGGTGTTGACGTGCATTTTGTTGAAATGGATACGATGGGGTCTCCCGAGACGCGGGGCCTCTTGCTCCGAAAGGATCTGACAGCAAAGGCATGTAATATATATATAATATTGAATATTGAATGCAATGAATATGACCATATAATATAGATGTATCTCTAATGTTTGGAATGTGTCATAGTTTTTTTGAGGGTTATAAAAAAATGATGATAGAAAATAAAAAATTGAATAAGCCAAATTAAGCCAGATTCGTCGATTGTGTGCTAAGGCTAAGATGAATGGAAAGGGCAGAAAGATTGGAAGAACATTGAGATGTGTCCAGAGATGGTGCAAACCAAAATGGAATATTGCAAGCCGAAGATTTGTTTGGAGATAAGGAAAAATGATGAGAAAGGTGGAGGACACCCAGAATGAGAGAGATGATGTGACACGTGTTCAAGAACGCCACCGCAAAAAGAATGTCGACACATGCCGAAATTGATCGAAATTGGCTCTGCTGTCACTCAGTCACTCCCTGAAACGTGCAAGAATGTGTCAACCACATTGAGATTCTGCAGTGCCAAATGCAACCAAGCCACTTCTTCCTCGCCATCTTCCTGCAATCTGCAACACTTTGCATCACACACCCAAAGAGATTTTTCAAGCATCCAACAAAGTTTAGGGAGTAGTTCTGGTCACGCTCCTGCTTTTCAAAGGGCCCCTCAACCTGTCCAGTTAAAATGCCAATTCCGTACACCTCAATCTGGTGCGCTCAGATTCTGCATGCTCAATTCGTTATCGCAAACTAAACTCAGCACTGCATGAAAAATATCAAAACGCAATTGCAGTTGCCTCACAAACCTGACAAATACGGCCAAGGAATGCTTCAAACAGAACAGCACGTAAAGCCAAGGAACCAATCCCAAGCCGGCAGAGAAGGGAACGGCGTATCCCCACCAAAAGTCACTGGCACCAAGCAAAGCCTTTAAGAAGACGCTGGCAAGCAGTCAATCTGTACCCAACAACTCATCAAACAGATCAAAAACACATTTTGCAATTTGCAATTAAGCAAGGCCGCTGTTTCGGATGAGCGTTCTTCAAAACGACCCATACTAAGATATTATACTAAGTCATTGGCAGCATCAACTGGATCCATCCTTGAAGATGCTCCCGGCACTTGCATGAAATATGCAACAGGTTTCAGGCTTAAAGCAGTCTCAGCATTGCACTGATCAATCATTTGGTCCCTGATTTCATCTGGATTAATGCCAGCCGCTGCATAGTAGGCCTTGAGACTTACATGCTCAAGGACAATTGAAAGCTGCCACGCTCTAGTGCTCTAATTACTCGATCATCGATCAGGATGATGCCTCGCGATTGATCTCTGCATGGACAGGTGCAGCTGAAAGCACCTTGGCCAGGGCTACGACTGGACATGACTTTAATTTCCCTGGCGCCAAGCCAACACTGAAAAGAGCCTGTGCAATACCAAAGGCCGGTGGCAAAGCACGGGGAGGCACCTAAAGCTGCAAATGTAACAACCAATAAGTCAGCATTCAGTTGCGCAACAAAGAGCCAGGCGAATGATGTTGTCAAGTGCAGCAATGCTGGTATGATGACCTGAACACAAGCGCCGTTAGAAACATGCTGCCGTCAACACCGATCAACCATTGTCGCAGTTCAGCAGTTCGATTGCACAACAAAGCAAGCATGAACATCCTGAGACCATAGCGACAAAAAGTGTGGCTGCTCGGCTTCTTCTCTGCGCCATCAAGTCCTGTAGGAAGTTAGGTTATGCATCATGTCTGCAGGAAATGTACATCCAACGAGATCACCCGCTCCTAAAGTTCGGCTCAAAGAGCCTGATGTGCTTTGCCCACGCCGGCACTGAGCCGTAGTCTTGAGCAACGCGGTCGTGATATATTTGTAGTTCAATCTGTTATTGCAAGGAAGTGGAAGAAAAAATGCCTTATCTTCCATATGATTTTGCCTAGGGTTTGTAAGTGGCATTTGCACGATTTTGCGCGATGCGGCGATGCAGTTCCATGACGTTGCTGCGAACTGAATTCACCGAAACGCGCAAATATGCGCAATGACGGAGGCCGTTCAACACTCAGTGAGCTCTGCCATGTCAGCCTGTTGCAGAAGCTCCACTTCGCATTTATGTCTTCAAAGTCGGCCCGGTTTCTATCAAGGCACCAACTGACCAGCACATAGACATACATAGACTCAACATATCTAAACTCTAAACATGACTAAACTACCAAATTAAAGGATCACACATAGCCACACGACAGCAAAACGCAAGCCCCTTCCCAGCCAACTAGATATGTGGCGTCCTCCACTGCTTTAGAAGATGCATGAGCCAGTTCGGACCTGATAGAATTTTCAAGGTATCAGTAAGCGCTCAATGTCATGCAATGCCCAGCCCGGCAAAGCTGTTAGCCTCTGTAAGCCCTGCACACAGATACCATTTCCATCTGTGGTTTACCAACCTGAAAGGCAAGTCCAGTGTTGTGGCCGCACTTGACTTTGGGCAACCTACTCTCCCCTCCCACTCCCAGTCAGTACAAGCTTAGCATGTGTTTGCAAACGGCACCAACAAATCTTCGAGACCCTCTATCAGTCACTGCAGTCAGCTCTTTCTGCACAGTCTCTTGGGAGAGCGCGTCTGAAGTGAAACTCACCTGTTTGCTGGACACAGTCAGGTTTCATCTGAAATCCTGGATCATCTATTAAAATGTGTTGGCATCATCACCTAGCATGCTACTCATGCAGCCACCCCAATTCCAAAAGTTTCGGACCCAAACAATCAAGACTTGTCAAACAACATGCAGTGCCATTCAAACCTTGGCACAATATGGAACAATGAGAGGGTGGGGCACATGGTGGCACGAAATCCTACCTGCCTGGCGTCTGTACCATGAGTTTTCCCGCTTTTCGTATGGGATCAACTCGGCGCCAGGGGCTACTCTTTCGATATTGGGCCGGTCGATCCATCTGCCTTTGTGGCTCGCGGTCTCGCACGCCATATGCACGAAGCAACGCTGCTCCAGGGCCACGAGGAACCAGTGGAGGGCTTCGAGCGTGGCGCGTCCGCAGCGATGCGTCGCTGGTCATGTGGGACGAACGGTCGCGCGGAGCAGGGGGTGGAGAGCGGTCCGAACGGTCCGAGCGGTCACGAGGAGGTCGAGGCGCAGGTGCCACTCCATGGGCCGCTAGACTTGTCAGCTGACGAGTCGGCGTCGGCTTGTGATTGACCGGTGGTGGAATTGCAACTTGCCGCAAAGGAGGATAAGGAGCTTGCTGAGGAATACCCGAAGGAGCTTGCTGTCCTTGAGGCTGTGCCAGAATTCCTTAGACATAACGTCATGCAATTCCAGGGTGATGCTGACGTGTTTTATTCAATTTCCTTATCAAATTTTAAGTATCGCTAGCCGAGCCAGGTGACGAGACCTTTCACCACCATCTTCCTGCAGTATTGCTAGGCCCTTGATCTGAGAAGCCAGAGGCAACTCCAAGGCCTTCCAGTTGATGCCTCTATCCTTGTTCCATGCAATGATCTGTCAAAAAATGAGATCATGACATGCTGCTGCTATGCCAATACTGGTAGCAATATCAAATAAACAAAAGACACACAAGCTGACAAAAGGACCTGTTTTGTTTGGGGAGGTAAGGAACCTATTGAGCCTTCATGCCCTGAAGCTACAAGCACCTGCATGGCTGACCTGCCAAGATTGTCTAAGTTTATCACGCTGACAGCTGCTCCCATCTCAAGATCCGCAATGTCCTGGGCTTCCTGGGCAAAAACAGGGCTGCTGGCTCCACATCCTCTCACACGCAACTTTCGCTACTGAGTGCAATTGAGTACAACTATGCATACTGCTGTCCTCTGTGGAGTTCTTCCTTTCACGCTGGCGTAGGGGACGAGTATCCCAACGCTCAAACTCTTCAGGGTCCTGTCCATCTCAAAGTGTCTGGTGGTTTTGGTACATGCACAACCTATATATCCCGCCTATGACGCACTGTTTGGCATCTCTGTCTTTCTCTATCTCTCTCTCTCTCTCACTCTCTATATTTTGACCTTTTGATCTTCTTTGATATGGTTCCCGATGCCTCTCAAAACAGAACTGGACTCTCTCAAATGCATTTGAGGGCAACGAGCGTGAGTCTTGTACTTGGATCAGCAGCATTCGGCCCACCTTGACAGAAGGTGCCCAAGCTTGCATCACCCGTAGAGGCCCATGCTCTTGCACTGGCAGCTCTGCAGTGCCCAGTAGGAACGCCCGATCATCTAACCTAAAAATCAAGGCCAAGGCGGCCAATCTATAAAACCGCAAGTCAACGATACAATTGTCACTTTGCCTGGCAGCATGCTGTAGCCAAATGTAGCTAATGGGCCACCAGCGAGGGATAGGCTTTACATGATGTTTATGCAGTTTGCCAGGAAGGGTGCAGCTGTTCAGCAGCACTGTAAAAACATGCAAACGCACTATGGCGGGTCTCATGATGCATGATGTTTGTCACGTCACTAACAGTCACTAACCCCATCAAGCAATGGAACTACAAGTATCTATGTAACTGGTTTCCTGGAATGCTTGATTGATGGTGTCAGGGTGTGAAGGGCTGCCTAGTCTATGCTTGTACAAGTGAAGTAGCAACTCCTGATGTTCCTCCGGCAAGCGAGCGCGCTGCGCCAACAAATGGTCATTCCGTAGGCGTAGCTGTTCCCGCAGCATGGCAATCCTCAATGCTCAGCTGCCAAGGGCACAATAGTAACAACTTTTGCAATAACATACGAGACTGTTGTGACGTCAGTTTGGGTGGGTGGGTGGTCATGCACAACTCTAGATCTGAATCTAAGCATCATAATACAAATTTGTAGCCGGTTTAACCGCCATACAATCAATCTGATCTCTGCTACAAATCTCAGTTACTCTTTAGTTTATTGCCATTGTTAAAACCAAGTTCAATGCAAAACTGTCGGAGTCGTGGGTACTTAGCTTACCTGCGGCGATTGCCTCTAAGATCTGTACTGTAAGGTTGAATGAAGGTGGCACAAGCACAGGGCGTGGTGCAACATAAACAAGCATGATTCACACCACCACCTTCCATAGACGGGAGTTCATTTCATTTGTCACGGAGATGGGCACATGTGTTGTCAAGCGTTGTGAGAATCAAACGCCCAAACCACTTGATCATGTCTTCCTACAAGTGTCTTGCCGTGCACTTTCATCCCCAGCCAAATAAGGCAAGACACTCGTCATCTCGATTGACCAGCTGCCGTCGGTGGATCTCCCAGAAGTGCTCCAGTTCTAAACGCTCAAACTCCAAAACCTGCGTGTTACTATACATGGAGACTGGCAAATATATGTATATTATATATATATATATTATGTATGTATATGTGTGTGTGATTGCATATATCGTCTTGCTTGCAAGCTTTTGACAAGTCCATCAACTCTCATTGAAATATATTCAACTGTGCTCTTTCCAAATCCCTAAGTTGCTCTCCAAAAAATGCTTTTCAAAGGGCACACGGTGGGTAGATGTATGTGGAACGAATGCAGTGTGGAGGAAACATGTTGGAATGCGAACATGATGTGAAGGATGCTTCCGGGAGTACTTCAGAAAATCTTACAAGTGACAAAATGCTACAAAACATGCAGTAAATGAAGAGCTCACCTTTCCCAAGCGGAGCTGCAGCCTTTCTAGCGGACTTGCATATACGCCGTATGGCTTGAATCACCTTCACTCTTAGCATCCCTCTTCAGCACCTTCACTCTCTGAATCAGCTCCAGAAAGGCTCGCAGGTCCTGACAAGTTGCTGCTAAGCCCATCTTGCCTTGATGCCTGCTTCATACCAGTACTTTCCCTAGCCTCAAGCATCTGATATCTCAATCAAGCCATTTGATCTTCTTTAAAAAAGTGCTTGGCCCAAAGTCCGCCACTTCCTAGCTAACTCATTGGCAAAGTTAAGCTGAACACATGTCTCCCACACCGCGGCCTCATTCAAAACTCTGCGGGGTAACTGTTCTTGGAGCTCTTTTCCTCCAATTGCCAATTGCTATGAGCCCGGCCAGGATGTTCAGGATAGACTACTAAAAAAACTACAGTATACTGTAACAAAAACAGTTTCCAGCATGATGTCCAATGTGGCCTGAAAACTCAACAGTTTGTCAAAGTGAACAGAAGTGCCCCAAACACAAGCAATGAACCTTGTCCAACTCTTCGAACAAGAAGGGCAAATTGTCGCCGCCCACGAATTGCACGTGACAGCAAGACCATGTTATCCGAACAGCAGCAACAACAACAAGAACAAAGGCATTGCCATGATACTTCACACAACAACTGTAGTGTCCGCTGACATCCTGTGACTAGTGAATGGGTTGGCTCAAACCATTTCCAGTACAATTTCGAATCCGTAAAACTCTCGCCTGCTTCCTTGTTCTGTTGGAGCCTTTTGGACAAAGACCTGCGAGTCTCCCCATTTTCTGCCATGTTCTCTTCAATTTGGGAGACCTGAAAAGCAAATGGCCACAGTGAAGCAACCAAACCGGCTGTCACATCCTGACCTCTATGTCAATGTATACAATACAAGTTATTCCGCTTATCCTACACTGCTGGAAGCAAACACTTTGGAATACCACGTGCACAATATAATGAAATTAGATATTCATTAAGTCCTCAAGCCCTAGCCGTACCAACAACTGACATACTTTGATGGACCTCTGCCTCAAGCCAGGTGACCAAGTCTCTCCACTCCTCCAATGTTCTTGGCTCTGAAGAGCGCCTGGGACGACCTGGTGTTGCAACCTGAGCACTCTGAAATAAAAGGATAATGATGGCTCCTATATAAACAGACCGAGGTAGTCGCCAAATCAAAACCAGTTCTGGTGATTTCACTTCGCGGAAGATTTGGAACGCAAATGGCTCACACTAGGTTGGAGCCAAGGAGCCTGTCCTCGCTCCTGAACTTCAAAACATACGCCCGAATAGAACTAAGCGCTGCAACTTGCATACTCTGGATTCAACTCAGTTATGCGTTGTTCTTGAGCCTTGAGCTGTTTCTCAGGTAGCAGATGGTAACAGTGATAGTAAGGACAACAATATTCATCAAATCTCATCCCCTCAACGTTGTTTTGCAGGGTGCTGAGGCATGCCTGCGTATGCAAAGCAATCTTCAGGCAAGAGTGATGTCATGTTGGCAAGCATGTCATGTGATAGCCTGAATGAACCCCATTTATGGAATGGTAAGAAGTCTGTAGGAGTCTAACAGTCTAACAACGTATTGTTCGGATGTCCTGCCAGCAAGCAATGACCTCTTTGGCCTGTCCCAGCTCAGCTTTCCACTGCACCAAGGCCTTCTCGACCTCCATAAGCGAGAACTGCAGCGAAGCCCTGGCTTCCTGGTGCATAGCAAGGTGCCAAGGAGGCCATCTGAATGATCTTGCCAAACATCGAATCTTGCGACTTGTGAAACTGTTCTTTTGCC